ATGTGTGCTTTTTATGCATTTGCTCTCTTCCACACACGCACACGTATGTATATCACCATACGAATATCACAAAAATGAGAATCTTTTGTTATAGGAGCGTTACAGGATAGAGAATGCAACAAATTGATTTCTCGACATATGTATACGTATACTCGAGGCTGACAAGAGCATTATATTTTATCGGATGCAAAAAGATAAAGCATACGACACATTTCAATGACTTACGTATTCGCCCATTTGTGCAATTGTTGTCACGAACATTCGCAATAATTGGGTATTATTGGTGTCTCTCCCCCTCCCCCTCATCCCTCTTTTCTCTCCTCGCCATCTCCAGGTACAGCGTTCGAAGCAAATTACGAAAGTATCAATACGGTTTTCGCTACTGAAAACAGATCGTATGTGAAATTAGACATTCAGCCGATTTGATTAGATTGGGAATGGATTAATTCGATCAAGCGCAACCGGGAGGCACGAAGTTGGTAACCTCTGGCGGAAATCAAGGGCGGACCCCTTTGGCATAGGCGTAGAATCATATCTGGAATCATATTGTCGCCCTCGCGTATCACCTGCGGCGCTTTCCGCATTCGCGCAAAATAAACTTGATCACGGTTCAAAAAATAAAAATCGAACGTTTAATAATTTTACAACGCAAATTGTGACATTTCGATTAGACGCCAAAACAATAATATTACGCAATCGTTATTTTTACATTATAATCATTTGCCGAGTTTCCTTTCGCAATTGTAAAAATTTAATAATACAGAATTAATTCGCTGTTCGTTCAATAACAATTATATATCGCATTTGCAATAGATATTCGTATCGTATTACTAAACGAATAAATTCGCGACTGCTAATAATATGCAAAAGAATACTAGCACTCGTCGTGTGCGCCGTACGTGGCGTACATGTACCTGAGAAGACTTGGCAAGCCATTAGCTAATTAATGAGATCTCCCCCGGCGATGCTCGGCTTAAAGTCGGGAAAACGCGTACCTAATGCCCCTCGAAACTATGCAGTATTTCGAGCCAACAAAAAAGATACATACGGAACGAAAGCACCTTGTTAGATATGTTTTCAAATGAAATGAATATGTGTCTCTGTTCGAAGAAACACTTATCACAATTGAAATTTCATTTGGAAGTTTCAAAGTATTTAAATCAATCATTTTCAAAATTTTACTTTTTATCCATAAATCTCTCTTCTTCGAGAATAATTATATATATATATATATATATATATATATATATATATAAATTTATAAAAAATTAAATGGCTGGATATATCGCGGTTCATTTTAATCCCATTTTAAGCTAAAATCTACTAATAATATTAGATTAAATTAATGTAGAAAAAATACATAAAAAAAAAAAGAAATTATTAATAGCATTTTTTATAATAGTACATTATTTCCTTTTTATTCGTTATGGAATTGAAATAATTTCTGATAGAATTATTTTTAAATATCGAGACATTTTATATATGGAAAATTTTTATAATTTCGATAGAATTATTTTTAAATATAAAGATATTTTACATATGAAGAATTTTTATACTTTTTAAATTTTGCATATAAATCTAATAAAATCTTATTATTTCATATTTAAAAGAATACAATCGTAATTCAAGCAAACATGTATGAAAATTCTCTCTCTCTCTCTTTGTTCTGTTTTTTTTTTCAACTCAAAACAATGAACATGACATAATCGCGATTATCTAATGCACAGTTTACGATGCATCAAAGAAAGCAGACTCGGGATTATCGAGCAACCAAAAATAGAAATGAAACAAACCATCCTTCTCTCTTTCTCTCCAGGAGAAAGTCCAACTAAGATTTACCGCAGAAACTAATCCATTGTCCATGTTCATCCCCGATGCTCACAGTTCCTCGATCGAGAACTCGACTTTAAGATAGCGTCAATATTTTTAAAGTACGATGCGATCTTGCGCTATAAATTTATTTCTAACTCGTTTAACTTTTACATTATACTTAAAATGTTTTATAATTTAAGAAGAATTCTCTCTAATTGACGAATTATATATATTTGTTTCCTCGCATCACGTATTTCTGACATGTAACATTTAACAGGTAACAATTTTGAAACGTAAAATATATCGATTGCAATGCAATCGATTTTTAAAAATCTATTTAAACAGCCATCATTATTTCTAAATATTCCAATAAAGAAGAAACTAATCTAATCTGTGATTTGATGGAATTTGAGGTAGTTCCAAAATCAATAAATCGCTAGCTTATTTTCGCGATATGAATTTTTTCATTATAGAACCCGAAGCATAGCGTTCATCGCGCTGCCAAGAATGAAGCTTGTAATTGCGTCAAGAAGGCGATTTAATTTCAGGTACGCCGCGGAACTCGAAGAGCGGCCTCGTATTAAGATGGCTTGTTTTAGCGCGTAACGGGGATAAAACTAAAACGAGCGAGCGAACAAGGTACTCGCGTACAGAAGACAAACCGCGACGCCATGTGCTTGGCGGTCCTGCAAACGACAGTCCATTGTTTCGCGGATAAGCCGTTTTTATTAAAGCGGATGATTATTTCGACGTCGAGCATCGTCGGTGGATAGGACGAAAACCGATCGATGCCTCGGCCACTGTCGTCGCCACCATCTCGGGCCGCCTTTGCGTTTTACACCTGATTAAGCGGCAAACTGATACATCCGCAGCACTAAAATATTTCGTATTAAAATTTCTCATTAAATATTCGCACTTAAATCCTACGATAAAATCCACTTAAAATTAAAAGCAGATTTTTCTACATATTTTTTCATATATTATTCAAGCTAATTTATTTTTCCGAAAATAATATACAAGTATGTGAAATTGTAAATGTATGCGCAAATTAAATGTATTCGTTTTCTATGCTTTAATAGGATATTATATTTGCTAGAAATATGTATATTTCTGAGAAATATGTATATTACTAGAAATATATATATTTTTGTAAAATTAAAATGAAATTTTGCGATTAAAATTGTGAAACCATCAACAATATAAAGCTTTTTCCAGAGCCTTACTTCCAAGAGGGAATTAGAGAGATTGGAACCAGCCCACTCTTCCTCACGGTCCGAATCGGAAAAGGAAAAAAAATCGTTTTAAGAACGAACAAGCCGCTCTTACATGGTCCGTAGAAAAAAGTGTGTTTCTACGCGACCGCCGCTCTGGTTCCGATGGAAATCTAGCAGTGCGAGTGAGAAGGAAGCAGGATTAGTCCGAAGAAACAAAATGACGAGAGAGAATGAGATGGAAAAGATAAAAAATAAGATGCGAACCCGAGAAGAGGGCGGAAGGAAAAGGGAGAGAAAGAGAAAGAGAGAGAGAGAGAAAGAGAGAGGATAGAAACACGGAGTGATACGTGTAGGTTCGTCCATGTAGGGACAGAAGGCAGCCCTGCGGGCAGGCAATCAAATAAAGTAGTCCGAGGTTGCTTTGCTGGATGCAAATTCAGCCCCCGTGGGCTTTCTGTTTCCATCCTCCCTCCCGCTGTCGCTCTGCAACTGCGAGCCGGAATCTCAGCGCGAGTTTCCGGGACACACGGAAGTGGCCCTGTAACTGCTCGTCGATACATATATTCTACTATATATCCTCCCCTCCGCCGTCTCCTCCTTCTCTTCTTCCCGTTCTTTCCATCGAATTGTTTATTTTAGCTTTTTCCAGCTGGAACACAAAGAATCGGCGCCGCACATAGCGATCAATCGCATCCCTTAATAGCGTTCAACGTGTTTATAGTTATTTAAAGGAACTTGAGAAATATGCCTCTTTACTTGTATTTTCATTAATTACACGATTCAATCGTATTTTATATTCATCAGAAAATGAGGAGAATCGATATAGTATTTTTGTGATTATGGAGGGACCAGATCTTTGATTGCTATATTTTGCAAAAAAAAAAAAAAATCAAATAGTCCAATTTTACACGCGATTTTTATAAATGTATGGAAAAATGAATAGCTACATTAATTTTTATCATACATTTCTGAGAGAAATAAAAAATTTTTTTTAATAAAAAATTTAACGATAAATCTCGATGAAGCGCAAACAAGATGAATTTTCTGTGATACTTTTTTTAAGGAAAATGCCACAAGTGAACGATTATTTTCAAGATTAAAATTTGATTATTAGATTTTAAGATTATTATTATCTTTTTAAATACTAGCATAAGCTCGAATGGCACGTGACGTACGTGTATTCGCCAGAGCGATTCCAAGGAAATGGAGGGTTCGAGCGGATCGGATCGCACTGTGCGACTCACTCCTAATTATGTCTTAATGAAAATAAATCGCTACATTTGTAGGAGTGTCGTGTCTCTTTGGACATTTCCACGAATCACCCACGCAGTTCGTCTTCTTCCTTCTCCTCCCCCTCCTTCTCTCCAACTCTCTTCCTTCGTTCGCTCTATCGCGTTATCTTTGTGCTCTACGCCACCTGTTTGATTCTCTCAAAGGGATACCAGTGTCTATTTGTCTATTTCGGTTTATCCCATTCTCTCCCCCCCCCCTCTCTCTCTCAATTTCATCCCGCACGACTTGGACTTGGAATCCGACATCCCTCCCGTCTTCCTCTCGGTGCGCCCTTACGTTCCAAGTTGAACAATCAATTTCAATCTCGCAAGAATCTCTTTTAAATCTCGAATTCGTCGCGTCGGTTCAGGGGAAACAAAACAGTTAATGCACTTAAGTGACAATCACGAATCGATAATAAATCGAGGCAGTATCATATATATATATATATATATATATATATATATATATGAGACCTCTGCATTTATTTATAATCTAATAATAATAACAGCGAAAGAATAGCCGATAGTAAGGATAACGGTAACAATATTATCCGGTATTATGTACAACTATAAAAGAAACTTACTTGTATAAATAGAGAAAAGAGATATTTTACAGTAACATGATCGTCTACAAATATATAATTCTGCTAGGAAGGGGACAAGGTGGCAACAAAAACGGCGAATAACACACTCAACATGGTAATTCTTAAACAAATCGTGTCTCTTTTCTTTTTTCTATCTACCCTATGTTACCGGGCACACGTGTATAAGTCTGCCCGCGCGACAATGTGCTTTTTTTCCACCACTGTTATTAATGCGCATCGAAATCTCTCGCGTAGCTTCTTATGTAGCTTAACCATGTATATTTTACAGTACGCTGGTACAGTATGTCAAGTGTATGACAGATACGTTCTTGACGCCCCAATTGTCACGATTTGCGAGCGTGCCATCACATTTGTTACAAAGCTCAATCGTTTCACGCGCCCATCCGTCCAACTTCACACGCACACCACGTAATAAAACAAGACGTTCTTTCCACTTTTGCCGATATACGTCACTGGACGACACATCAGACTCCGAAACGATACATATTATACAGTAAACTTACAATTACGACGATTAATTCTAATAAGTAACAATGCGTCGAGATGATGAACGCGATATCGGCGATTCCATTCAGAAGCGATTTCCTTACTCAAGCCGCATCTTCCACCCTTCTCCTCTTATTCTTTCCCTTTATTAGTATTACATTTTAGATTAGTTACATTTTACCATTTCCACACAACTCGATGCTGATTAAACTCGCGTAAAACCGATGGGTTAATTACAAAACAGCGAGTTGAAGATTTCGTTATTCGTGATAAATAACTCGAGACGAGAGAAACACATTCGGACAGACACACATTCCAGACCTCGTAAAAATATATTAGATAAAAAACTAGAAGGAAAACGCATCATAGCACACGTGCATTATCAATTCTATTCGTTTCAGTAATTTGCCATGTCCTTACTTGTAACATTGTTCAATAAACGCGCGATTGATCGCGCACGAATTTACACATCGCGACAATTTTCGCGCAACCAAGCTCTCTTTGCGCTTGATGTAGTATCCTGTAAAATTAAGTGTTCAACAGAACCAAAATTTGATCGCGTATCTATCATATTAATCCTCTGTCAAGTCATCGTCTGACTGACGAGGGAATTGCGCGAACCTGGAAATTCTGATTTTGACAAAACTTTAGACACATATAGGAGGAAGAGAGGGGGATAAACAAATTTAGAAATTTTCAGTTACTGTCCAAAAATGATTTTAGCAGATGAAACCTCATATGTGGAGCAACTTTTTCTCGTTATATCTCGAATATTAAATTATTTGAGATACTGAAAAATGTTTATACACAAATTTCACGGTTAAAACACTTCTATTTAATCATAGTAATAACATAAAAAAAAATAATTTTTTAAAGTACCTGGGAGAAAATTATTTTTTCAAAATTTTATCAATATAGTTAGATAGAGATGTATTAAAATTTCTAAATTAATCTCTTTGTCTCTCCCCTCCATACGTATACGTAAAGTTTCATCAAAATCAGAATTTCACGAGTTTCCTTGTAAGCGAACACACAATCGTCGTAAACGAATTAAAAGGAGAATAAAAACGCTGCAATTGATCGCGTAATGAATCTCACATTTATGTACAACTATATCAATGCGATCTGTCGGTGATTATCGATGTAATTAATTGAATCGCCAGTTGTTGGATACAAAAATCTACTCGCGAGAAAAATCCCGCATCCGCTTGACGGAAACGGAGCCAAAGAAGATTCCGGCGAAAGAATGCTCCAAAGAAGGCACTCTGACTTGTTGCGCTCAGAAACTGTAGTTTTATCAGCCGGCCTCGCTGACGCTTCCCTAACATTTTCAAGAGACGAAGAGTGCAGAGACAAGAATGCGAATAAGAGATTTGATGCTTGAAATGCATAAAATAAAATTTGGACGTAAAATTGTGGCGCATTTCAATCAAATTTCAATCTCGATGTAAGTCTCACGCAATTTTAAATACAATCTCTTGTAGTGTTTTTCGAGTGAGTCTAGCGCAAGTTTTCGCGATTCAATAATAGTTAGATCCTGATTTCATCTACGTTATCTTTGCGTGATTTAAATATTTATAAAAGTTTCTGTCAAATGAATAAAATAGAATAGTTAAAAATAGAATAATTAAAAATAGAAATATATTATAATATTTTGAGAAGAAAAATATATTAGGAATTATATATTACTCTGTATAATAAAAAACATATTTACAAAATAAACAAGAGAGAGAGAGAGAGAGAAAGAGAAAGACAAAGAATGTTTCAATCAAAAGATAACATTTAAAGTAATGTATGTTGCATTTTTTCAACGCATCTTTGTACAGATGATTAATGTAAAACCTCACGCATCATGTAACGGCGCTCGCCAAGCATTAAACACGATATTACAAAATACTGCATTAAGAAGAACTATACATTGTGTCTCACTCCTGAAATTACATTCGTAACAGCTAACCTTTGCTATCGTATTTAACGAATCTAACATCGAGTTGCCGAGTGCATTAAATCCGATATCTCCGATAATATTTTATTCCCATTGATAATTGATTTAATCTACAACTACGCGCTTAATATTGAATCTTTGCCTCTCTTCGTCCATTGTTTCCGAACATGAAGAAGCGCTCGAGGAAACGTCCTCATCAGAATCGAACCTTGGTTCGTCTCTTACATAAAGAGCATATTTGCATTACTTTACAGGACATAACTTCCAGGATAACTGCGTCGGAAAATCTCTCTGCGGGAGAAGGTCCGCGGAAATGATTCTCTCGCTCTCTTCGCTCTGGCTGCCGTGCATCCGAGGCAGAGTCTAATGTTCCTTCCGGTCCTCGGTGGACGTTGTTTCTTTACGTACAGCCTCGGTAGACTCGATGACCTCGAAGCCTTCGGCGGACGAACTCGTAGCTCCGGTGGCTGGAGGAACCGCGTCCGTCTTCGCAACGGAAGACCCCGTCGCGTCCTCCGACACTGCGATTCAATGTAAAATTGCCCCCTGATTACAGGAATACGTGCGGAAGAACAAAAAAAATACGTCGGGCTTTTTAACGCGATTCCGAAAACAAATATCCGTAATAAAAGTCAAACTGTCGATACGGTGTAAGCGCGACTCTGTAAGTCAAACCGCAGCTGTAAACAAACTGGTTTCCGATGGGAATCGCTCGCCCGCTCGCGCGCGTTAAAACGATTATCGATTATCCACGAGTGCGAGAAACGAGAGATGAAATTAAAAGCCCAGAAAAATAATCAGTGCTAGTTGGATCGTTCGAATTGAAACACGATAGCACGGTATCGCGTGCCAAACTGCGTAGGCGCTCCAAAAGCGACGAGTGTCAGTGACACAGGATCTACAAAGTGCTCATTCAAAACTCTAAACCGGCGAAACGCCGCGCGCCTCGCGAGCCGACACGGGCGAAACGTGTAATCACGGAATTACTGACGATTACAACGTTACAACGATTTCATTTCAAAATTATCCGAATGCGTTTCTCTCGGGATCGCCGCCATCGCTTCTCTATCGATCTGTCGCGCTCGAGGCTGAAATTCTCGTTATTTCCAATAACGTACGCGTACCCTAATGTACTTTGGAAAATTAAGCGGGAACGAGCGTCGCGAAGGAAGAGAAGAATTTTTCTATCGATCAATTTTTCTACAAAAGTTTCAATAAATGTTACGCGCGCGCATGCACCGCGCCAATATATAATTAAATGTATCGTTTCAATTTGTTCCTCTATACATGCATTTTCACAGAAAAAGTACGAATATCGAAGTTCGATCAAATATACGATATCCAATAGCACGTTTAACTCTTTAGTACTATGGGATAAAATTTCACTTGTACTTATTCGCAATCCCCTCGCATAAACGCTTTATAAAAAAAAAAAAAATAGATAGTCACCTAGAGATAAAAAAATTCAACTGATAATTACATTTAAAAGTACGATTGTCAAATTATTAATTAAAGTAAAAACGACTTGCTTCGCGGTAGGACGGAGGAGACAATTTTATATAACCGGGAAATTAATTAAATTGAAAATAATTGCTAATATATATTTATCGATCATTCAAGCACCACGTTTGTTGCGAGAAATTGATCAAAATATCCCTTTGTGAAAAATATCCCCTCGTAAACTAGTGGCAAGTTTGCAGGAAACACAACGTTAAGGTACACAAGTCACGACGTACCTGGAACAGAATCGTCTCGACGATCAGCTGTTGTCGTCGGCGCGGACGTTTGCTCGGTATCGGCGCTCGCGTGTCGTTCTTCCGGATCGCCAGGTTCCGGATCGAGTTGGGACAGCTCGCTGATGTAGTTGTGCTGCGTCTGCTCCGTTGTGGGTGTCGTCGTGTCGACGTTCGGCCTCTGAGAAGACGAAGGCGAGAGTGTCGTCGGCGACGACGGCGTCGACCCCGGACCCGGGGTGGTCGGAGCCGTGCTGGGCGTCGCTGGCTGCGCCTGCTGAGGTTGAGCGTGATTGCGAAACAAGAGTTGCTGTAACTGCGCCTGCTGCAGGATCACCGGGAGCTCGTAGTGATGGAAAAAGTACAGCATCGAGTGCTGAAACGTAAAGAAGGAACGAATCTTCAAAGTAATTCGAAAATCGTTAGGGGCTAGATTTATATTATAGAGTTGTATAACGTTCATAGTAAAAACGTAGCAAGGATCATATAGGTAAAATGACACCCTTACATCTCTCGTATAACTAGACTATTTGTATTGTATCAAATTTGACGTCGATATTAACGTCATATAATTATCGACCTGCGATGACGTTGACGCAACTCTTAGACCGGCTTCATCAAACATTACAAGAGTCAGCCAATCGCAAATCCAAATGTCAGTGGACGAATTGGTTTGATCTTATACCTGCACTGAGAAAAAAATCTGGTTGCATTAATTAGAATTCTGGTAGATTTAACCGGTATGTCTGTTGGAAAATGGACGAACCAGAATTCTTGTAGGAATTACCAGATGAATCTGATTAATTTCTTCCTGTTAAATTTACCAAATTTTCCGGTTAATAATACTAAACTCGCCAAGTCGTCTAAAATTTTTTCCATCTAATTTCAAAAGTCTGTTTAATATTTTGAATTTCAACAAGATTATTGGATATAAATTCAATCCAGATTATTGAATAAATTATTTTAAATTCAGTTTGTTAAAATAAATTATTTGTTTGTGAGAATAAATTATTTTAAATTCAGTTTGTTAGAAATTAAACTGATAAACAGTGCAAGAAGAGGATGCAGCTCAAATACACGCAATCAGAGAACTAGCGTCCTCTTTCTGGCACTATTGCTCGTAAGAAAAAAAAATATACTTTGGATAATACTAGTTCTTTATATACATTTCATGGCAAATATTGAATACGAGTTAAGTTAAGAGGCAAGCAAGGAAATTAATGTAACAAGAAATTTGATAGATCCAACCAGAAAATACTAACCAAATCCTTATAGTAAAATCTATGAAACGTTCTAGTTATAAAAAATCGAGTCTTATCATGATAACTAGAAATTCTTGTTTGATTTAACCAAAATGCCTTCAATCATATATGTCTTGTTGGTGCAATCAAACGATTTTTCTCAGTGCGCGATATGTCATTTTAGGCTAAATCTCTCTCCCTGAGATCTATCACATCGCGTACAATCTATGTAATATTATGTAAAGTTGGAATTGTGCCACCAAAGTTGATCGCTTCTCTTCGCGTTGCAGAAGCCAGAACGAAGCCCGAAGAAGCCAGAAACAAAAATTCTGTTACCTGGCGAGGATATACCTACATATCACGCGGCTCTCCACGCGTGTGAGACTCGTGCGTGAGGTCCGCTCGCGCCTAGCAAATTTAAATGGAAATTCGGCAAATTCGTTCTACATCAGAGCGCTCTCTTTCTCATCCGCCATCGCTTCATTCGAGCCTGACTCTGCCGATCCACGCAGATCGCAATAACGCGGCTTCGCTTTACTCGCCGCGAAACTAAATTCTCCTCGTCTGTTACATACATATATATTATTAGGTGATCCGCGTATCCCTCGATCGAATCAACGCGAGGAGCGGGGAGTTAAAAGAATGATTTATAGAGATGTAAAATAAATTGCACGCGTACCAATGAGAATTGTTCGATTCCGATGCTCTATTTAAAATAATAGAAAAATCCAGGGCGAACAAATGATGCGCGGGGGTGGACGCGGAAGGGATGAGCGAGAGGAAGAATCTTGGATATGGAAAATAGATATCTCTCCCACTCGGCCTCTCCCTGTCGACGATGCGAAGGAAATGGCATTCCCGGCGATTCATCGGCGAGAGCGAAACAATTCCGCGCCGCTTGAGAAAAAGAAGACCGGTGGAAAGATTCGCGATGAGCGGGAGCGGATCGGCCAAGGTAAACGGGAAAGAATGACGGGCGAGGGAAACGAGGAGCGGAAGGAATCGGGGAGAGGGAAGAGGAGGGGACGATATATCGAGTTTTCGTTTGGCGGATAATCAACGCCAATGACACCGATATCGAATCGACGTATAATCACGCCGCGGGGCTAATCGGCTAAAATCTGACCTACAGCAACAGCCGGCCTACGAGCTTTGCCATCCGGGAATCGAAACGATTCTCGGCCGACGTGCCCCGGAGCCTTTCGAATTTTACCGCCACGCGATATTCGTAAACTCATTGCCAGGAAATAATTGTCGCTCGTTAAACGATCGATCATGTTAACGAATCTGTAACCCGGTTTGTCAGGGCAACAACTGTCATCACCGTGACATGATGGGTTAAGCCAGTTTATTTACAAAGCATATATTCGATCACGTTCTCAAACGTTGCGTCGACGCGTCGTTTCGTTTACGCGCTTGTGGAAAAAAAATTGCTGCACCGCGTATATATTCGATAAAATATTGCACCAAAGACGAAATTACACGTGTAAAGATAATTAATCGACGGATTACTTATTATACGATATATTGATGTTGAGAGAAATGATATGAAATTTTCAAAGATTTTCAAAGATTTACTCCAAAAAATCCGAAATGCACCACTTGCATTTTTGCAGGATTGTCGCATTGTCCGTACAATAATTGAAAACGATTTCAATCAAACGCAATCATTTTTAAACACTACGCTTAATCTAAAATTTATCAAAGATACATACATCCGAGTCGCGTTAAATTAGACTCGGCAATACCGAGAATGATCAACAATCACTATAAATGTGTCCGACAATCGAACGGTGAATACAACATAATAATATAATCTTTTTCCCAAGCGCTTAATGACGTAGCATCGTGATGCATTTACACCTTTTATCGAGTGAATTAACCACTCCATTAAACTTTAATGGTATTCAGTTTTTACGCGTGAAATATACACAATACATATCGAATGTAGTTATTAACGTAGCGGCTATCTATTGTAACGCCATTATAATAATACCTGTTAATACGGCCATCGCGATCATCTAATTATAAGTTATTGCGTTATCAAAGTACGCCCTCCCAATCAGATTATCTGCCGTATTATTGGCATAGTGGCAAATTTGTTTCTGAAATTCCGGCGGCTTATAGCAAATGTTCTATTACGATCGATCGTGTCTGTCGTAATAGATGATACTCCACTTAGGTACGAAGATAGACGTACAATCGTGCGACCGATGACTCTTATCGAACATGACGTTTACGAAATGTAGAGGAAGACAAAAGTCATATCACGTACATGATATAACAATTAAACTAGTAAATCGACCCATTTTATTTACAAGACAAAAATAAATAAGGCGATGTGATGAATAAAAATTATCCCAAATAGAATCTACTCAAATCTAGTACAAAAATTCCCTAATCTCCATTTTTTGTTCAAAATTTTAAGTAGATTTTAGAGATTTAACGTTGATGCAATTTTTTTTTAATTTTTTGTCGCGTGCGTTTTCTAATCTTTTCATTTAGATGAAAGAAAAATGAAATGTCACTGAAATTTCATGTGCTGGATTTGAAAGTGTACTAAAGAAAAATAAACTAAATAGTTTTCCTAAGGTAAACATTTCTCACCTACGTAATATTTTTATTTTTTTATCACTAAAAATTATAATTAAAAATACATATCGCACATTTTATATTCTATTTAGACTTTAAATATATAAACAGAGATATATATTTATAGATATATATATTTTAAATACACAATATATTTGGCCAACGGATGAATTGCTGATTGTTTTATACAATATAAAGATAGAATGATGAAAAAGAGAATTTTTTTTTAAATTCTCGAATTTCAATAAAATTTCATAAGAATTTTCTAATTTTTCCAGATAAAGAAAATTCCAGGTACTCGTTATGTTTTCAAGGAATAGACAAAATTGCAAGAAAAAGGTCGAGCGAAATTTAAGGGGACATAATAGCGTATATATTTCCTAATGGAATATTCGGAAAATAACAATATCTCTCTCTCACGCACGCACACACAACTTGAAAGGAAATGACGGCGTTCTTAATGAAAAGAACGAGACACGCCCTTGTCGAGGCGAAGGAGAGTCCGCATTTAAGGTAACCTTATGCGCATTTGTATATGGGAGCCAAGAAGCCGCATTAAATTATTTCTATCGATCGAGCTGTCAGGAGCATTGTCCCGGTTGCGTTTACGTAACTTAAGTTTGAGCGATGGCGGCTTTAGGCTATCCAGCCAAGCGACCACGGCTCGTTCTTCGTACTGCGCTAGCGTTGCTGTCAATCGCAGGACTTGCAACAGTAGCCAACGGGATCGCATGCAAAATATTGTGCTTCCCCATTTTCCCTCATCTATCTCTCGACGCTATTCCTGAAGGCGCAAGTGCAAACTCGCGTCATAAGCCCGGCATCATGATTCTTACGCATTGCATAATAAATTCGGTTAGTTGCGCTTCGAATTAATTGTCTTAAATCCATTACATCAACCTTGTGAAACATCAAATTTTTTAAATAAGCCGCTCTCTCTTTTTTTTTGATTCATTTATTTTAACATTTCCCTCTCATATATATTTCAGATACATTAATCAACATTTCATGTGTTTTCAACATTAATTAATGCAATGTAGGAACAATGATGGGGATTAACATTATTTAATGTATCGAGAAGCCACATTGAACAATAATCACAATCTATATCTCTACAGCATTCTCTTTCTCTCTTTCTATTTAATATTCCATTCCGAATATAATTATCCAAAATGCAACGCTATAAAATTTGACTTGTTCTCATGAAATTTTCATTCATAATTTTTTCACTTAACGTAGCTGAACAAATTTAGTTTATTTACGCGTGTACGCGAATTATTTAGACAAACGGAGCAATAGTAATTATCCAAGGGTTAAATATATACAAACAAAGTTTCTAAGAAATTTTTGTCAAAATGTGCTTATACCTCGGAAAGAGAGAAAATGTTGTACCTACGATACAATTTTTAAACGCAGCTCGATTGCCGGGGAAGAAAAGAATCTTTCGCTAAACTTAGACCGACCGTATCGGCTCAACTACTCGCAAGTAGGTCACGGAATATTCGTGATCAATGTCCGTCTCAATGAAAAAGAGCAATTTTTCTCGGGAGAACTTTTCTATTTCCGTGGTGGAGTTTTTATCGCGGGGACGATTATTTCACGATTCGTGACGGGGCGCGCGCCATTTTAATCCAAAAATACGTACACCGCATAAATATTCGTGCCTCACCATCAGTCATCAGCACGTTTCCACAATTTCAAGACAATTTATCCCCGACTACTATATCCTTGTGTCCTGTCATTGACCGCGCTTTACGAGATCGTATCTTAAACACCGACTCGGATTTTAAAATAAAATGAACAAATTTGATATCATATACAGGGTGTATCTGAAATGATGCACTAAACTTTAAGAGGTATTCTAGAGGTTAAATAAGACTTTTTTTTCGTATAAACATGAGTTCGCAAATGAACCTCCCTCTGAGCTAAAATTCGAAAATGTGTGAAATTGACCAAACACCCGCAACGCAAATTTATTTATCTCTCAAGAGAGGGTGATAGGTAACGTCAAAACTTTTTTTTTCTGAAATACAACCAATTTTTAATTTTTTCCCCAAACTTTAGGAGTCTTTAGCTCAGAGGGGGGTTCATTTACGGACCCATATTTATAGGGGAAAGTCTTATTTTGACCTACGCTCTTATTTAGAATACGCTCCTAAAGTTTAGCGCATCATTTCAGATACACTCTGTATATTGATATGAAAAAAATAACACAATAATAAACTACTCACCTGTATAAAGAGCCAAGATGTGACGAGCGCCAAGCTGCTGTACTGTCCGTTAAATCGATAATGGTACGCGTAGAAGGAAAAGTGGTACAGGTAGAAGAATCTGAAACAGAACCGACATGTCTCGTCTTTAAGTCGCATCGCAACACGAGAGAAAAAAACGTGCCTCGAAATATACGAGACGAATAGTTAGTCGTATTATCGCAGCGTCAAACGCGCGCCATGACGTCAGGACGGTGACATAAATAAATAGAAAATTGTCGGGATGCGAATACGTAAAATTACGGAATGCAACGAGATTTATTCGCCCCGATGTGCGCGATAATCTCGAAAATCCGTAACAACATCAAGCCACTTAACAGGTTACATAACGTAACGATATACGCGGCACGTTCCCACCCCGTGGCAACAATATGGACGAACTATCGATCAGATCGTATCAAGTTTCAGCCTATTGAAATATCGAGGATGACGCGTTGCGCGGCTAGCGGCTATGTGTCGTTATTACGACCGAAAAAAAAATATCCTAGGTGACGCAATATGCGTTATCTAGCTATGGTGACACGCACAATTCTCGTAAAAAGTATCGGATGTTACGGATAATTTTCTTGCGATTGACATGTAAAATAGAAAAAGAAACACATTGCGTTCTTTTTTCAAGGTATTATAGGTACTCGATGACTAGAAATATTTTCTGAAAAAAAAAGGAGCAATCGATCTCTAAAGTCGCTTAAAAAATCCATGGACAAAATAAGGGAGATATTTAATCTTTCTATAAATGAATCGTGATTAAAAGATGTTTAAAATTGCACACTTTTTAATCTCATACTCCTAAAATGAAATCTTTGTCTCATCTCATGTCGAGAATTAATCCATCTCGTTTTTATGATAAATAAAAGGCAGAAATACTTCATCTCTTAATCTTCCCCTAACTGAATTATTTGCTACGCCTTCTCAACCGCGAGGAACAGTTCTTCCTCTCGTGACTATCGTTTTATATATTTCGTTTTATATGTTTCGTACTGTTTATCGAGCTTGGTTTCATAATTCATCAAAAATATCCAGATTTTATCGTCATTTCGGTGAGAAATAAGTTTCACGAGAGAATTTTAAGATAACTGCTTGTTAAAATTTAATTTAAATTCGTACACGATTTTTTCTTTTTTAGCGTATCTTGCATACATCATCTTCATATTTTTGAATCTAGATATGTCAAAGGTTGCATGTGTTTTTGTAAAGCTGGCGGATTTTGTAAAGATATAATTCATCGAGATTTTATCAATTTTAACACCCACGTGCACGCTTGACGTAATTCTTTATTCTTTCCAGTAACACAATATTCACTCGATGATTAAAAAAATATAACAAATATTCCATGTACGTTTACACGGTTATTTAAAGAAATGAAACTTAAATTTAAAAATTTAAGCCCACTTTTTCATCATAATATTGCACACGAAAAAACAATCGCTTTGATGTATTCTAAACAATTATAAAAGAAACATACAAGCACATATATATATATGTACGTATGTATGTATTTTTTTGTAGTCTTTTTTTGTAGTCTTGGCTGATGAACGATGTTTGGGCGATGAAGGAGGGGTTGTAATCAAGCAATTTTTACGAGAAGTTGTTACGGGGTCGCCAATATTTACGGATCAGGGTGGGGTTGAGGCAACGTCACTACTCGAAGAAAGAAAAGCGATCAGCAGAGGTGTGGTGAAGGATGATAGAAAAAGAAGTCGGGGTTTGTAGGTATATCCCCTCGACGAGTACGACGAGTATGACGACTAATTTTCTAGAGTATATAACTTTAGCGTCTCTCAATCAATCCGAGATATGTATCATAAATTATGGCTACATATCCATCATTATTAAAGTATTATTACATAATACTTTACTCCGATATATTTTCGAGGTAAAAATATTTTGGACAGACTTGGCACAAAGAAATGTTTAGAAATATTATTAAAATAAAATAAATTTAGATTGTTGTGCATTTTCAAGAAACAGACAAAAATGATAAAAGCAATAATAGTGAAGGAAATTTATAAAAATAGTCACAAGGAGAATTATTATTGTATTGTATGTGTTGAATGCACGAAACACGCGAAAAATTGAAAAATATTAAATGTATGACTTAAAAATACTTAAAAATTGCAAATCTCTGTTTCCAAAGCCATTTACTCTCAGACAATACGTACTGAATGCATTTATGCGTCCAAAATCTTACGATGCGTAAATTTATATACAGCGGGCGTTGGTTCGTAAACGCTTTGCATTATGTTTTACGACACTGCCAGTCGTAAAACGCAGTTTAGGCGGCCGATGCATCCCATTTTCATTCGCAACGACACGGACAAACATCCAATAAATCCAACCATGGCTTGTTTGGATCACAAGCAAAGTCACGTCGTGATTAAAGCGTTCATGTTACTTTACAATTTGTTAACGTAAACTAGAACGTTATTTATCGTCGTTGAAAACAAATATTTTTTGTACTTTGATATAATGCCGCGAAAAGGATATTTTTATCCTTAGTAAATATACAAATATTGAAATATCGATCAGATAGGTTATCGAATTTAATGACAATCGCCATTAATTTAAAAATCTACAAATGTCTGGCGTCTAAAATTTCTCTGAATATGATACACGTGAAAACTGTCCGATCCATGATTGTTTAATGAATATTACGCTTGTAAAAAGGGAAATATAATTTTAACCCAAGCGCGCTTGAAAGAATCGTGAAGAAATAAAAGGTGGAACGAGAGGCGGACGGAGGAACGAGAAAGAATGCGCCTCCGAAATCCTACGTTACGTATTCCGGGGACATAAGCTCTAAAGTGTCTCACGCTCAAGGAACCGCAACCATCCGACGACGATTCATACGTCTTTTCCGGGAAAGAGGGAGGGTAAAAAGAAGAGCCGGAGACTCTCCAAACGCATTCTGAATTCATTGAATAGTGCTACCCCACCGAAGAACGGCAGGGGTTACTTTCGGACTTTAGAGCAGACTCGGAACAGGTCCCCAGTTGCCCGATGCAATCTCGGCGAACTTTTCACGCTACGTTTATAACACGCAGACCATACCTCGATTAATGTCGGAAATCATAGCGGAGAGCAATAATTATTATCATGTGCAGTTATTCGATGAATCGAGATAGAAGGGAGAAAAGGTCGCTTTATCAACAAATTATATTTATTAATAAATAATGTATTAATTGTGCACTTATGTACGTCATGCTTATTAATTGTAAATATGATTTTCATTGCTACAATTTATAAGCGCGTCAAGTAGTTGAAAAAGGCAGATATTTTTCAAGTATTTCTTTACTAAAGAAAAAGCTGTATGTAACAGGGGTGTTCCCGAAAATTCGCGTCATTGCTCGGGATAGTAATGAATTTATGAGATATAACTCTCGCATCAAATCGCACGAAAGATACCCACCAGGGCATACTTTGTCTTATCCTCACCTTTAGTCGAATGCAGTTCATAACAATCAGTTTCGGCATACACCTGACAGATTTACAATACGAGGGATACGAAGGGATAGCATCCAAACAAGATATAAATCAAGGTGTAAATATATCCCAAACCGCAATCTTATTAGAAGGAAAGTTAATAACTGTAAACCGTATTAAAGATGATATATAAATTATGTTAATTTATATGTAATATATCAACTTGTACGACATAAAATATTTATTAATAGTAATTAACATAATATTGACAAATTGCAACCATTAAATTTAAACCATTCTCTTAGATTCCAATAAATTTTATCACTGACAAATTGCAAATAAATAAAAATAAGCATAAAAAATAATAATTTCAAGCATTGTATAATAACACTGTAATCGTTTAATGATAAAATTATATTTTGATATTGTAATCATTTAATTATAAATTTATGAAAATACATTCATGCGAAACATATTTAATATTAAGAGTATCGTTTTTCTATCAATTTATTTTTCTCGCAAAGCCATAAAGATACTTAAGAAAAAATTATTTTCAAAAATGGCTCGTTCCAAAATTTCTCCTTTTGACTTTGATATTTTTTTCACATAGTTTGCGTTTTAATAAAAAACGCTTCCTCCCCGGTTGTCGCAAATGTGGCCACGGGATGTGAAACCTTACGCTTGTCCAAGAAATTTGCCCATGTTTTCTAGGAGCAATATCTTTTGAGAATCGCTTACACGAGCGAATGAACGAAGAGGGGAACGAAGAAAAGGGAAGGAACGAAAGGAAGGGAATGGAAGGATCCCGCGGCGATGTTCCTAGCGTAGGAAAGAGGGTCGCGCTTTAACGGCGGTGGCACCAGGGTGGGAACAGGAGGGCAAAGAGGGTGTAGCCGTCTCCATAACTGTACGGTCCACTCGGCTAACGTAAGTATATTGTCAATCAATCCATGGTATAAAAGCAATCTGAGCTCCGGACGACGGGGTGGCGGGATCCCGCGGGGCGAACCCGGGGACTAAGGAAGGTGAAACGATGGAAGAGAGGCGAGCGCAAACAATCCCCCCTCCTCCACGCTCTTCGTAGAAAAGAAAGGAGAATGACAAGGAGCGGAGGAAGGAAGGAAGGAAGGAAGAAAGGCAGGCAGGAAGGAAGGAAGGAAGGAAGGAAGGAAGGAAGGAAGGAAAAGGTCCTTTTCTCACTGGCCACTCCAAGGACCTTATCCAACAAGTAGGATGAAACGAAACTCGCGCAGCCAGTATCAGTACATATATATGTACTGGGTGCCTCAGGAATTATAGCGTCTCTAAATTATGGAAAGAGACTAGATGTAAATTGATCAGAGAGAGAATCGTGCGAATAATGATGATGAAATTACAGAGCTAATGAAATTTTACATGTAACTCTTGACCGAGAGAGAATCGACGATAAATCGTAAAATCCCCGACGAAAGAAAGGAACAGTGATTTCTGAGTAATCCTGTACATTGTACAAATCTCTATATGTGCGCGCGGTCAACCTGGTGTGACCGGATAGATATAGCCGATGGTAGGATATATCCGAAGAAGCTGGTAGAGGATTCTCTAGCATTCTCGAGGTGGCGCGTCCTGTTCATGGGAAAACCCCGAGTGCTGAGAAAA